AGTGCGGTTAGCGCAGGATAGAGCAGGGTTTAGGGCTGTTGTGCATAGGGTCGCTATGAGTCGCAAACGACTCGACGGCACATAACAACAACAACAATAATAATAATGCAAAATTCACCAGACAGGATTTTAGACATGTCCGGAAGTAAATAAATACCCTTTTTATCTATTACAATGAAAGTCTAGGATTATCTATCAAAGATTAATCAATTCACCCAGTTGTTAAAAATGCTATCAGGCTGATTCTGATGAATACCCTCATATTGGATCAATCTCACAATCTATGAAGTTATCATGTCCTTAAGTCCATGAGTGTAGTCATTATGTCAACCTATTCCCTTGACGGTCTAACTCTCCTTTGCTGACCCTCTAACTTTTCCAAGCTTGATGTCCTTTGTCTTTGCATTTTCCTCATGACAATATATCCAAAGTAAGTGAAATGAAGTATAACCATTTTTTAGAGACTAGTATAGGCACTTCTTCCAACACTAACTTATTTGTTCACTTGTCAATCTCAAGTAAATGTGATACACTTTATCAACAACACAATTCAAAGGCATCAATCCTTCTTTGGTTTCCCTTACTCACCATGCAATTTGTACATACACATTGCTAAGAAAAAACACTGAACACATAAAAACTGATATATTAGATATTTATGAAATGAGATCAATCAGCATGGGACAATTTGAACCAGACAGTCACATGATCTACTACACTGGAGATGAAATAGGAAAAATGGGGTTGCTTTCACAGTTAAGAAAAGCATTTCTAGATCCAACTTGAAATACAATGCTGTAAGTGACAAGACAATAACTGTACACATATAAGGAAGTCTAATGAATATTACTAACATTCAAATATATGAACGAACAACCAGAGCCACAGAGGAGGAAATAGAATATTTCTACCAATTTTTGCATCGGAAATCAATTGAACATGTAATCAAGATGTATTAGTAACAATGAGTGACTAGAATGCAAAAGTTGGGAAAAGGGAAGAAGGACCAATAATCAAAAAAACATGGACTCAGTGACAGAAATGAGGCTGGAGACAGAACAATAGAATTCTGTACCACCAATGATTTATTCATTGCAAATACCTTTTATAAGAGACATAAATACAGACTCTACACAAGCATTTCACCGGATGTATGCACAGGAATCAGATAGATTACATCTATGGAAAGAATCCCTGGAGAAGCTCAATGTTGTTGCTGCAGCTGTTGTTGTTTGCCTTTGAGTCGAGAACAACTCATGCACCCTATGCAACCCTATGCACAAAAGGCCTGAAGCCTTCCATAACTATCAAGATTTATCAAAGTTCATAGAGTTTCCAGAGGCATGCTGTTTAGGAAGTTGATGCCACTCCTGCTTCCATATCAGCTGTGAAAACTAGGCTAGGTGCTGACTGTGGAACAGACCGTCAACTACTCATATGCAAGTTCAAACGAAAGCTAAAGAAGATTATATCAAATCCATAAGAACCAAAATCTTACCTTGAGTCTATCCCACTTGAATTTCAAAACCATCTCAGGAACAGATTTGAGGCCTTGAACAGTAATGAGTGAAGACGAAATGAGCTGTGGGATGATATCAAGAATATCACCCATGAAGAATGCAAAAGGTCATTACAAAGATAAAGGAGGAAGAAAAGACCAAGATGGATGTCAGAAGAGACTGAATATTGCACTAGAGCGCTGCAAAGCCAAAGCAAAGGGAGGAACTGAACGGAAGATTTCAACGGGCAGTATGGGAAGACAAAACAAAGTATTATAATGAAATGTGCAAAGACTGGAGTCAGAAAATCCAAAGGGTCAAACTCACTCGGCATTACCTAAGCCAAAGGAACTATTGAACAAATTCAAGCCTCGAGTTGCAATACTTAAGGAAGTTTAGGGCAGAATAGTAAATGATCCAGGAAGGATGAGAAGAAGATGGAAGGTGTATACTGAGTCACTGAACCAAATAGAAATGGCTGACACAGAAAAATTTCACGAAACAATGTATAATCAAGTGCTGGTGGTGATGAAAAAAGAAGGTCAAGCTGCTCTGAAGGAATCTGCAGAAAACAAGGCCCTGGGAATTGACAGCATACTAATTGAAATATTTTAACAAACAGATGCTGCCCTCGATGTGATCACCAAGTTGGGTCAAGAAATCTGGAGGACAACCACCTGGCCAACTGAATGTAAGAGATCCATATTTGTTCCAAATCCAAAAATAGTGACCCAGCAGAGTGTGGAAATTATCAAAAAGTATCACTAATATCACATTCAAGTAAAATCCTGCTGATGATTATAAAAAAACTACTGGATCAGCACATGAACAGAGAACTGCCAGATGTGCAGGCTGGGTTTAGAAGAGGCGGTGGTACTAAGGATATTACAGCCAATGTTAGACAAATTTTCGCTGAAAGCAGAGAGTACCAGAGGAATGTCTATCTTTGTTTCATTGCAGTGCAAAGGCATTTGACTGTGTGGATCACAACAAACTGTGGTTGACTCTGAAAAGAATGGTAACTCCAGAATACTTTAATGTACTTATGCAAAACCTTTACTTGGACCAGGAGATTGGGTGAAACAGTTGGACTCTGAAAGAGTCAACAGGACCTCTTGTAGGACCTTTGTATTTAAGGCCAGGCCCTTGTCTTCAATTTGGAGACTGGATAAAGTGGTTGGACTCTGAAAGATGGGATCTTTTGTTTTGGTTGAGGGTCCATGTGGAATGTTTGGTTGTTTATTAATTTAAACCTCTTGTTAGAGTCAACACAACCTCATGAAAGGCTTTTGTATTTAAGTCTGTTGGGCCTTCGGGCCTAATGTTATTATATTTTGGAGGAACATTTTTATAAGTAGTACAGCACTGGTCTGTCAATTTGTTGTACTGAGATAACCGGGGGTTGTTGTGATGCTGAACCCTGTGACATTTGTGTGTCAAATGCCAAAATAGTTAACCATGATGGAGAGTGTTTGGTAGAGCTCCCAGATTAAGACAGATTTGGAAGCAGGAGTGACATCCACTTCCTAAACAACATGCCCATGGAAACTATGAACTTAGAGAATAATAGTTGTTGTTGTTATGTGCCGTCGAGTCGCTTGCAACTCACAGCGACCCTATGTACAACAGCCCTAAACTCTGCTCTGTCCTGTGCCAATCGCACTGTCTCTGACACTCCCATCCCAATTATCCCAGTCACTGAATCAATCCACCTCATAGAGGGCCTTCCCCTCCTGCGCTGTCCCTCCACCCTCCCAAGCATGATGTCCTTCTCCAAGGACCGGTCTCTCCTCACAACATGTCCAAAGTATGTTAGACGGAGCCTCAGAATCCTTGCCTCCAAGGAGCACCCCGGTTCAACCCTTTCCCGGACAGATCTGTTTGTTTTCCTAGCAGTTCATGGTATTCTCAATACTCTTCTCCAGCACCACAGCTCAAAGGCATCAATTCTCCTTCTATCCTCCTTGGTCATTGTCCAACTCTCTGATGCATAACAGGTGATTGCGAAGACCATGGCCTGTATCAGACGCACCTTAGTCTCCAGAGAGACACCATTGCTCTTCAGCACTTTGGAGAGGTCCCTAACAGCAGACTTTCCCATGGCAATGCCCCTTTTAATTTCCTGGCTGCTGGTGCCTAGACTGTTGACTGTGGAGCCATGCAAACTAAAGCTGTGTACAATCTCAACCTCTTCACCATCCATCCTGATGCTGCCAATTGGTCCAGTGGTGAGAATAATTACCATCATTCTTTTGTAAACCCTATGTACAAAAGAATGACGGTAGTTCTAGAAAAGGTTCAGGTCTTTTGTTCATAAGGTCGCTATGAGTCGTGCTTGACTCACGGCAATCAACAACAACAAAAACAATATACTTGGACCAGGAGGTAGTTTTCAGAACAGAGCAAGGAAACGCTGCATGGTTC